GTACAAACATATTTTATGTACCCAGCAAAATGTAGCTAAAAAAATTGGAAAAGCTAAAAATCAGAAAGTGCCTACTGACACAAGTGAAAAGAATTTTGTTAAATAATCTAGCAACCCCCTAGCGAAAATTCCGAATTAGAGGGGGTGAATACACCAAGTGCTTTTTAAAATGAATGCATTTACTAATTTTGAAGTTTTCTGCTTCGGCAAGCGGTCAGCGCGTGGCTATATGCCGCTTGGATCAAGCGATGAAGGTAAAGTGAAATATCTATGTACTCGTACATATCGCTAGCTTAGAGTGAAAAGTTGCTTAGTCGCAATTTAAAAGTTGTACAGGGGAAGAAAAAATCTCTTATAGCCATTTTCTTCAAGTATTTCCCAAAACGTTGAATACGACATTTTGTCTGTTTAAAGCAAAGCAAAACTCCATGGGAATCAGAGGGAATCGATCTTTTTTAAAAGATTTCGTACACCTTTGGCCTAATCCAGTTTTCGTAGCTGCTTTTCTTTTCATTGAATATAGACGAAAAAATATAAAACAAGGACCTTTATCATTTTCGAAACAAAGCATTTTTAATTTCCCTAGTCTCCTGTATCAAAATATGAGTTTTCATTAAAAGTGGACTTAGCAACTTTCCTCTCTAAGCTAGCGATATGTTTTCCTAATTGTGGTTTTTTTGTTTTGGTTGTTATGGATGTATGTAATCAATATCTTAAAAATTGCGTTCTCCATTTTTGGATATCTCCTTTAGTTTCCGAGATATTGAGTAAAAAGTGTCGTTAATTTCATAGAAATTTTGATCACATTTTGTCGTATTTCATAAAATATGGCTGCCAAATTGTGGACAAATGACGCTGACGACAAAATTTTACTAAAGAAAATCCTTAATAAACTCAAAACTAATCTATCTATCTATATATCTAAATGTGAATATCTGTTTGTTTATTTCCTTATAACTTCTGAACCACTATATGGAATCGCACCAAACTTTGCACACTTATTTTACCTTTTTACCCCGGGAAGGTAATACGTATAGTTTTGTTTGAAATTTTGCGAGGGGGCGTAAGAAATTAAATAGATAGTATTTCTTCTATTATATAATTCATTTCAGATAGTTTAACCTAAATAAAAACACCTGCAGTGCCAAAAAATTATTATTACATTTCATTCCATAATACCCAAGCTATACAGCTGTCCTACCATATGCTGCTGTCACGGCTATAGTAAAATTAGAGCAGAGAGTATCTTTACATAAAGTACTTTTCATATTTATATAAAGACGTGGGGTGAAACCCGCAGGTAAAAGCTAGTTAACAATAAACATTAAAAATTAAATAATTTAAGAATTTTGTGAACTAGTAACATTTTCAGAGACTTTGGAGAAAATCTATCTTCGCGTTTTTTGAGAAATTGCATTCCAAATTTCAATCGCGATTTCCCACAACCTGCCGAAATACACAATCATACAACACAATCATACACAACATACGACAATCTTTTACCCAGGCGACGATGTGTACATGCTACTTTTTAGATCTGTGACTTAAGGAAACCCCACAAGAAAAAGGCAAGACAAGTTGCAGCCTGTGAAAGGCCGAGTTCTTGTGCACGGTGCAGAATGGACTATCGCGCGCTTTCCTGCACACTTTCACGTACCAAGGCGATGTTCTCGGACGATCTGGAGTTCCTTTTGGTTTAAAGGCGTCCGCTTATTGTTCACCGAACCGGTCGTCTTGATTTTGGCCAACCAACGTTGGCGAGTTGACTATATTAGTGGAAAAGTGGCGCCGCCAAAACAGCATGACCGTCACAGGCCCCCCTTTATTCGTTACAGAATTACTCAATTATCAGAAGTACTACATATTTCCCATTGCTAATTTCTACGATCATGCTAGAGGCGACTGATAAGATCGCAGCCTGAAATACCAACGCCTTCATCTCACTGTGGTCCGAAAATTTTCGTTTCATGAGGTACATATATATTTTTTTTTAATGTATAACTAATGTGACCAACCGTACTTCTTTCGGAAGTACAGTACTTTTTTTTCGCTCTTGTACTTCGTACTTCGAAGTACAGTCAAATGTACTTCTTTGCGATATTTTGTACTTCACGCATGAAGATTATGCAGTAGGGGCCTTCTTCGATATCGAGGGGGCCTTCAACAATGTCACTCCAGAGGCAATAGTAAAGTATATTCATAATCTGCGGGTGGAAACCAACTTAATAAGGCTTATTTACATCTTACTTGGTGAGAGAACTGTCGCGGAGTAGTAGGGGAGCGTCTGCAGAGTCAATAGGAGCACTCCACAAGGTGGTGTTCTCTCTCCCTTGCTCTGGGCTGCGGTTGCAAACGACCTTCTAGAGGAACTGGAAAAAGTGGGCTGTCGGGTGATCGCCTATGTAGATAATGTGGAACTTTTGGTAAAGGTACGATTTCTATACACCCTTTTTGATCTGGCTCAAGGTTACCTGAACCAGGTAACTAGGGGGCGATCAACGGCGGCCGTCGTGGAAGTCTAACATGGACGAAAGGGTTGGAAAGGTGTCGTTTGCCTTGTACTGCTCTAGGGGAGCTATCGGTGAAAGGTGGGGTCTCTCGCCCAAATTAATTCATAAGCTCTGGGAAACCAGATTTGAGTGGATATAGTTTCAAGGAGTCCTGGTTAGGTGGAACTCACTAGAGAAGGCCACACTTGTAAAACAGGAATTAGCGGAGCATTAGGAACCACACCTCCACTGACGCTTAACATACATATGTTGAACACAGCGCCCGCGGATATTGCAGACAGAATTATCGCAGCACGAACTGCTATTAGAATAAGGGAAACCGGGTCCTTTTGCGACATAAAAAAGGATATGAAGACGTTTCTCTGCTGCAGCAAATGTTTTATAGGGCACTTTAAAACACGTTACCTCACAAGGGCTAGTAGTGGGGGTTCTGACAGGCCATTGTGCGATTGTTATTCATGCGGTGATCCTTTTGTTTTAGCTTCCAAGAGGAAGATGAAATGGAGTCATCTCCATACTTTCTTTTAGACTGCCCAACCATCGCGAGGCTAAGCTGGAAGCATTTTGGCTCGCACTCCTGAACAAACACCGAGCTCTAAGGGATCGAAATTAGTCGCATTCGAGATTCCATAATCGGCTCGCGGCGTTAACTTAACTCAACCTAAGCTGTACTTCTTTGAGCTATGAAATAGTTGGTCACATTATGTATAACAGCACTCCACCCGCCAGCTTACCGCATCTTTTCTGTACGTCTGCGTCGCTATTTGACTTTTTCCCTTTGCATTTTTTTGGTAGCCTTTCTCTTCTTTTTTTCATCCACTGCATTAGCGCTTCCTGGACTCCGTATCAAACTGATGAATCCATGTTTTTCGTCTTCCTTGTTGAAATGGCCAAGCCCACTTTCTTAAATGCTGTACACAAGTGCATATCATTACTATAGTATGGAAGGGGCATATTTACGGTGACCAGATTCCTGTGGACAAAAATCGGGAGATTTCCAAAGCATCGAATCCGAACATACTACAGGCATGTTAGAATAAAAAGACATACCATATTTTCACACAGCTTTATTTAAAACAAAACAGAGAAAAAAATGATATCTGGCAATTTTTTGCTCGCGCATTTTCTTCCATACAAAATATGTTTGACAATTTTTTTCTATGAAGAAAATGAGTAACACCTTCCACAAAAACATTTACCAAAAAGCAACGTTAAGAACTAGCTACTTAAAATTTGCACTTTGAATTAAATGGGCTACCAAACTTGATACTCTAAATTTTTCTAAGAAATCTACATAATTAAAAAGCTCAACATTTGTACGAATCTTTGTCGAATTAAAATAAGAGCTACACTTTCATAAAAAAATAATAAAAATTAGATAGCAACAAGAAGAATATCCAAAGTATGCTAAAATGTATCTTCGCTATTTATATTTTTGCCACTGTATGATATGATATTTTTCATATCCAAGAATTTTTAGGGAATTGGTATATATTATATTTTATAATTTCGCTAAATTAAAGATAGAATCGTTTCATTCAAAAAACAAACCTAACAAATAATTATAAATTATAAATTTATAAAATAATTATAAAACCCTTAAAAAAATCTGGTAAGAGTGATAGACTGCAATAAGCCTAAAGTACCAGTTTGACCGAATAAAATATATTCTGTTATTTGTGATAAAGAAAGTGCTGCCGCGTTTGAACGAAAAATTGTTTTTGGGCCAGGGTACAGGGAGACTCTTATTAACTTAACAAAGAAACTACTAAAACTCGGGACTTAAGCGGTACAAATATGAAAAATCGGGACACTTATATGTCCCGACTTTTAAAAAATATTCAGCGGAACAATTTTCCAAGAATCGGTACTGTCCCGCCAAAATCGGTACGAATGGTCACCGTATCGTCGCTGAAATGAAAAAAAACCACAACTACCTAAAATTTGTTATTGCATAAAACGAGGTGGGGACTTATAATTCGATGAAATGAATCGTAACCAACCATTTTGGATTTTTAATTAGTTACGGCTTTTTATATTTCAGTAACGATGTGAGTTACGCCCTATCCATACTATACTATATGTATGTATGTATGTATGTGTATGTATGTATGCATATGAACTTACAGAATACTGAAGACACGACATTTCTTCAAAAATTGGTTTCGGCGTATTTTCTATTTTAACAAAGAGTTTAATCGCACCACGTTGCTTTAAAATTCGAGAATTTCCAGTTTCCGTTGCCGTTGATGCTTATTTCAGCCAGAGCTTTTTTCTATACCAACAATAAGTCACGCAATTAGTGTTATCGGTAACGGGATGATGATTCATCGCTATGTACCTTAGGTCGCGACCTTATCAGGCGTTCCTCGTGCATATACTAGGTATATGCATACTATATGTAGTTAAATAGTTTTCTTCCCACGAAAAAAGCTTCCATATGGTGCCTCAAAAAAAAATAATAATTAAAAAAGGGAAGTTTTCTAGAATTGAAAACAATAAAATTTTTTGGTACCCGAGGCGGAAGAAGTATGGAAATTGCACTTTTAATAAATTTTTTATGGTAGTGTAAATATTAGTCCTTATTAAATATATTACCAAAAATAAGAACTGCAAATTTTAAAGAATATCCAAGCATACAGTTTTTAAAGGATAATTTCCAATTCGTATTCGTCCTTTTCCACCAAAATTTCTTTTTTTTTCAATTCCTAAGGATTTTTTGTAAGCCTATTCATATTCTTATTCAACATTGTACTGAATTTTTAAATAAATTTCTAATTAATTATATCTTTGGAATTTTAAAGTCCTTTTAGAAAAAATCTTGACATCAGAGAAAAAGGAACAGTCCAGCGCCTTCGTCTTGGTCTGCAGGCTGTATCGGAGATACAGCCGCTAAATTTAAACGTAGAATACGTGGTATGGTAAAGAGCATATCCAAGTAAAAAACGAAAGTACACACTAAGCAAAAAATATCGATAACAAAAGCGATAATAATATCGGTAGCAAAATCGATAAAAACATCGATAAAGAAATCGATGAAAATATTGATATCAAAATCGAAAATAATATCGAAAGCAAAATCGATAGCAAAATCGATAAAAATACCGATAGCAAAATCGATAACAACACTGATTACGAAATCTATCAAAAAAATCGATAACAAAGTCGATAACAAAATCGATTATAAAGTCGATAACAAAATCCGTAACAAAATCCATAAAAATATCGATAACAATATCGATAGCAACATCAATAAAA